GTCGCCAAATCTTTCGTCTGCACATACAAGTAAGTTTTAAAATTCTAATTATTATATTATTATCTTTAAATTCATTTAATTTCATTTCCCTTCAAAGGGATTAAACAAACATTTTTTTATGCTTTAATGCAATAAAATATTCAATTCTCTCAATTTCTTTACATTGATAAAGAGCAATTTATTGATCCACGCAATAACCATAATCGAAAAAAGCTCCTTTTACAAAAGATTACTTTTCAAAACAATATTTTCAATATTGTCACAATGTTTCATTGCAAAGCGAATTCCTTTATATATTTTCTCAAACCACTAACACTTCCCTTAATTTTCAATTTCGCTACATAGCTTATCAATTTACAAAAAAAATTATTAATTCATCTTTACACAATAACCACAAACAACTCTTTCAAAAATTGTCAAAGTTTTCTTCGCAATTTGTTTGCAGACTAAAAAAAAAAAGCAAGTAAAAATGTCACTGGTCAACTTTACCTTGCCGTATCAATCGGCGACGCCTACACCGTTCTTCTACGACGGGCAAAACGGAGGGCAATCGACGGTGAACAACCTTCGCCTGAACGCCGTGCTTCCTCCCGCGCCAGCTCGAAATTTCAACGAGCAGGAGCCGTTCCAAAACGAGCCCTACATACCGCCGATCGGTTACCAAAACCAGCAACAGCAAAGGCAACGCCAATCGACGTTCAATCGACAAAGGAATGGAAATCCGTACGTCGAGCACTCGTCCTTTTCCTCGACTCAGGACACGAGATACGCGAACTACAATCAAGATTTCAGGAGGACGCAGCCGAGGCAACAGACGAGAGCCAGCGCGCCGCCATTGGCGCAACAGCAACGGGCAACCGTGGAAAAGGAACAAGAGAACTTCAGAACGTCGAGAATGCCGGAACAGGAAAGCTATCCTGACAGACCTAATGGGTAATTTTCTTTCTGTATCTCTATTTTCTTTCTCACTTTGTTTAGTTTTATTTTTGTTTCTGTCGTTTCTGTTTTTCTAGCATTCCTTTTATTACGATCGTAGATAGAGGAAGAAGATTATATAGAAGAAAAATTGGAAAATTGAGTAATTTATTCAAAGTCTCTGAAAATACTGAAAAATTCAAATCCATGCTTAAAAATTTCTGTGCCTCTAAAAACACTAATTGAGATGGATCGCGATACGAAAATTAATATAGAGAGAATTACGGTCAATTAGATGTTAAGTCGATGATTAAGTGGATGAGTTAATTCCACTTTGCTCTATTTTTTTGCAATAATTAATTAACTCGACGAGTAATAAACGGATATTTTCGCTTCGAAGCCGGCATTGAAATCGGTTGAAAAACATTTCGTAGTAGTAATCTTAATTGCAATCGTAATTATTTATGTAACGATCAGTCGAACAGTTTCTCGCTGCGTGCCGTGCATTCCTAATGAATTTCTGGCCAACAACTCGACTCGTGCGAGTTACTCGACCCTCACTTTCCTCCTCTGCGGGAAATTATGTCATCGATCTACACGATATCGCTTCTTTCTGCCGTTGTTACTCCAGATATGTATTATTAATATGAGCCATGCCAACCATACGAGGTATAGCGATATTTTTTTGCCTCGAACTTGCTGACAATTATCGCGAAAGGATAAGGATATCGTTTGTCCCTTTTTGATTTTTGCGCCGTGTCGCAGATCATTATACTTGTATCATTATATCTCGATATACTTTCGCAATTTCCTTCTCGAGGTATCTTTTTTAACGCTTTTATACTTTAATGGTTTACTTTTGTTTTTATCGAATTGTGCAATATTTATTTTACCTTTTATATTATAGGTATTAATCATCAAAATATATAATTTTATTTCTTTGAAATTATCTTAGAAATTTCAAGATTCAAAAGATTTAAAAGGATCAAAAGAGAGATTTAAAAATTCAATGATTAAAAAATTAATCCAAAGATTCAGAAAACTTAAATAAATTCAGAGATCCAAATATTTCAAAAAATTCCATCAGTTTCCATCATCGAGTGTTTCGTAACTGAATTACTGATCTGGAAAAAAAAAAATTTTGTTAAAGGTATACGAGAGTAAACGGGGAAAGTGGACCTGGTACAAAAACTTCGATTCACGCTGTTTTAGACTATGATGACGACTTCGAGGATTACTACGACGACAAAGATCCAGAGATACCAAGGGATGCGCACGTCACGCCCATTCAAGGCCCAATTTTTTTAAAGAACGGCTCGGTCCCCGTAGTGCCACTGTATTCTTATCCGCAACTAAACAATGGTACTTACGTACAAATTCCGGTAAGTTGGAAAACAAAATATATATCATAATTCATTAATCGTTATTTTCACCAGAAATATAAATTTTATTATAATAAATATGAATACAAATTCGTAATAATATCGAGAATCGTACGACATTTCATTCGATTCTTACGAATGCTGAGTAATTGCGTGACTCATAAGCTGTTAGAGCGGAAGAATTCGTTGCGAGTAGAAAGTATATATGACATGATAACTCTAATATAAATTTGCAATAATATGGAGAATTGTAACATTTCTCACGAATACTGAATAATAATGGTGCGACTCATAGGTCCTTAGAGCGGGAGAATCTCGTTGAGTAGAAAATATGCGATGAATGTAATATAAATTTGCAATAATTGTATCGAGAATTGTAATACTTTTTTTACCAATGCTGAATAACAATGGTGTGACTCATAGTGATTCTTAAAGCGGAAGAATTCGTTGCGAGCAGAAAATATATGATATAACATAATATAAATTTGCGATAATATCGAGAATTGTAACAATTCTTATATTCAACATTTCTTAAATACCGAGCAACAATAGTGTGACTCAGACTGTTAGAGCGGAAGAATTCGTTGCGAGTAGAAAGTATATTTAACTGTTCACGCACGAATTATATACAGACGTGGAATATATAAGTGGATTTCGTCAAACGTAGAGACATTCTGTATCAAGATACGAAGGAACTTTCAACAAATTTGTTAGACGACCTCACGATCTCAAAATTAGGTCGCGTATATGTCTTTTATCTTTATGACTGGCATACTTTTTCTAAAATTTCAATAAAGATCTTGCTTCTTGGCAACTATTGTTTCAAATTGAAAATTCGCTAGTTGGAAACAAGAATACGAAGTTTACGAGTGAAATAATTCGATCAATTACCCATGATTAAAAAATATTTTTATATCTCGTGAGAGTCATACATATCTTCGGATTAATTAATATTTGATAATGAAACGAAATTGAAACTTAATTGTGATAGTTTAATCTTAAAAAAAAAATTATCCATATTTTCAAAAGAATTTTTATATTTCACAAAAAGATTTAAATAAATCTTCATGATACTTCATTAATATTAACAATGATGGTACGCATTTCCCTTGTATCCAAAAATATTTCCACTCTTTGAAACTCTGCATTCAATATAACTTATAAATTTAATTTAATTAGATAAATATAAATTTTACCTCGTTAGATTCAATATATCCAATCTCTTTAAAGAACGATTTTATTTCAGTGAATTTTATATTCGAATGAATGAGTCTTTCTCACTTGCAATATTCGAAGAATAAAAATTCATTTCTTATTTTTTTCAAATTTCTTTGAAATCAAACGAACAAACTTATCGTGTTTACCATGAAAATGACAAAAAATTTAATCAAAAAAGGACAAAATGGACGAAACAGGATCATCAAATCGTTATTACCTTTCAAAAATAAAACAATTAACCTTAACCAAGCGGTGCAAGTTTACCAGTTTCAGAAACGTTTTTCATTGGCGACACGAAACACAGTATTCTCCACAGTTTGTTCCTTGAAAGCATCTCGTACTTGAAATCGACTTGTTCGAGGATCGTTTGAAAGGTGATCGAACGCGGCCGTGGTTACAGGAACGTTCAAAGTCTGTATCAACTAGCGTGACATTTTCACCGGCCACCCATGACCCCGTGTATCTTCCCTAGAATCTCGCGAAGAGTCGGTTGGGTGCATGCACTTACACCCGCCCATCTCCTCTCCTCGTGTCTCTACTCTTACCTACCGTACGTGTAATTCGAACGATGTGGAAAGAATCGGCGCAATGCGATACCGGCTTAAGGTCGTGGTGCGCTGGCATTGAGACCATAACCTCTTGAACCCGCCGCTTCGTAGGTTATTCGAATAAATTGATCAATATGGTATGTTATAAAAGATTATTGGTAATGTTGTGAATATGAAAAATATCAAGGAAGAATCTTTGAAAGTTTGATAAAGAAGGGAAGTCGATTTATGTTTTAGAAATTTGCCGAAAATGAAAGGTAGGTTTGAAAACAATTTTGTCAACAATTTAATAATAATAGATAATATTGGAACAAATTGTAGCAAGAGGATTGTTATTTTGATTGTTGTTTCGAATTTAAAAAATTGAAAAAGTAGTAATAAATAATATTGAGATTTCATAGCGAGAGGATTGATATTTTGTTTACATATTCGTCGAAAAATCTTTCAATATTATTGGCCGAAAGGATATATAGATTTTCATACGCGTAAATAAACTTTAAAAAATTGAAACATGGAGATTGAACGATCTGATAATAAATAACAGTCAAAATTGGGATCAATCGATTCGATCGAGCATCGATTGTGAAACGATATAACGACGTGACACAACTGACAATATCGAATTACAGTTCGGAAGCGATCCGGTCGATGTCCTCGATCCAATCGCTGAAAGTTAAAAAGAAATACGATTAACCTTCCTCGCATGTTCCATCGTGATTTTTGCGTCGTATTTTTCGATTATTGTGCAGGCCTGCCTATCCCACTGTAATTAAGGTATTCCACTTCGTATAAGTAAATCGTTCGAATTCGATTCGAAAATACACGGTATGAAGCGAAATATAGTTATTAAAGTCGTGCTAATTTTTCACGTAAATTTACCGAATAATTATTATATAAACATTATATTATTATTTTTTTTTTTCATTTTAGTCAATGTTTCCTTCCTGTTGAACCAGCAATTTTTCTCTTAAAAAATACAAGAGATGAATCATTATTCTAAAAATTATTGAAAGGTATCTTGAAAATTATTAAAAAATAAAAAGTTCGTGTATTCACGAGATATGCGAGGCATGATTCATTTTCTGCCTCCCAATGCATCATATTTTCCCCTGGATACAACGGTTCGAAGTTACTCGAGTCACTGAATGACGCCTACTGATCGCTCGATGGAGACGTGTGCGTAGGATGATAATCATCGGCGGACCCGACTTCCGGTACAATCGGCAATTACAAATTCCACGAGGTACATGGAAAATTAATCATAAAGTTGAAACAGTGGATAAGGATCGTTGACATTTCGATATTCCAAGAGTTATTAAATTATCTCACTCGAAGAGTCTATTGACGAGAAATAACTTTCAAATGTACGTTCTAAAATTATCAAGTTTTTGAAATTATTACGCTACAGAAAATTATTTTTCAATGTAGCAAAAAAATAACTCTCAAGAATTTCATCATCTTTATTTCACAATCTTAATTTCCCAAAATTAATTCTTTTTCTAATGGACGTTACATTGAGAATCAGAAATTATTTTCCAACAATTAGTTTCAATTTAAAATAACTCTCGAGAGTTTTATTTTCGAGTATATATATTTATATTACCTCTAATTAAAATTAATTTTTGGACGCTACGTTGAGAAAGTTAAAAGTATTATTATATTCGAAAAAACAATTTTTAAGAATTTTACTTTCGAATATACACTCTCAATTATCAACTTTCTAAAATTTATTACAATTAAAGTTAATTTTCAGCAATTTGGACTCTACATTGAAAGTTTACAACTCTTTACAAAAATAATAATAATAAATTCTCGAAAGTTTTAGTCTCAAATGTATCGATGTCTCGACTTCAGCTCTGATGTTACATTCCATTGGAAATCAAGTGTTATTCACACTGCGACACAATTGTCTCCTCCATGGAAACGTCCTTGCGATCGATCGTAGGCGTCATTATTAAGTATATTTTACCTATAGTTCTATCACCATTATTCTGGAAGAATACATGAAGATGCGTAGGTCTCGTACAATCTACAAATTGTACTTCTTATTATTATTATTCTCGTGACATTGAATTTTACGTCATCATGCCATCACAATTACTATTGTTTTTTGAACATATCTTAAACGCGTTGTATTTTTCTTCCAGATTCTTTGGACCGCACTTTCCGTCGCTCTGGGTGTCGAATTAAGAGGAGACTTGGTACGCGGGGTACCGTGCATTAAAAAATATCACCAGCTGTTCTGTCCAACTGCTGGAAACACATATCCCATGTAATTACTCTATTCGATAGTGTAATGATATTTTATAACTATTGTTGTGACTAAATTGCGGGTGTTTACGCATTTATACAAAATTTACATTATAGAAAAATCTACAGAGTATATATTTGCATTTGATATACATAAAAAAAAAGGTAAAATGGTAAAGGTATAATACATATTGTGATATTTGAAGAATAAGGTACATCCCTATCTTAAATTTTATTTCTTTAATTCTTAGTTTATAAAATTAAACTATTTTATGCACAAAGATTCGTTGTTAAATATGATATATCTTATTATAGAAAAACATTGATTTTTAAAGTTGAAAAGAAAAATCGAGAGATCTAAATTTTTCTTAATCACGATATAAATATCTCATTAAGAGGCTTGTAATGGGTGAGCAAAATGTCCACGAGATAATAAAATGAAGATAATAAAATATATATATATATATTTTTAGAGAGCGGATAGAGCGTTTCATCGACGAAAACAAGGCGTTAATGAAGAGAATGTATGGTGACTTCGAAATGAGTTCGGGATACGGGTCACCAACGAGAGAGACTGGCCATCATCGTACACGTAGAAGAAGAAAAAGTAGAGAAGCTGTGAAACACGATATACCTGATGGTGGACCCAATTTCCGGGACGAATTGGATCCGGAAATCGAGGCTAATGGTGACTCATTTTTCGCCAATGTGAGAAAGACTAGAAACCCTAGACAGTCTCCTGGAAAGAATCATAAAGACAGCGGCAGGTATATACAAATTATTGGAAATTATGGCGAAAATATAACTTTTTTTCAAACAAGAAATGTAATTGTTTAGGAATCTGAGATTCGAGAGTTCCAAAAATAAGGAAAAAGTAATTAATTAATAAGTTTAATGGAAACTTTCAAATTCAAGATTTTAATCCTTACACGTTTCATAAAAAATAAAAAGAAATATTTGTCAGAATCATTCAATTATATTATATTAAAAGTGCGAATAAATTCGAGAATAAAATTTTTTAAAATCACTCTTGAAAATAAATTTTTTATAAAAGAATTTTCTCTCTCAATGCAATTCCATTTGCGAAAAAAAGAGGGAATTTCAAATGAAATTCGCAATGCAGGTGACAAGCTTTTCAAAAAATTATGAATTTTTTACGTAACTTTTCTTTCAATCCATTTTCTATTTCGTTGCATTTTACAACCATTCATTGTATCTATTAATATTCTCTACCAAGATTTTTCGACTTTTGTGCATTGAATTAAAAAATTTTCCAGAATCGATGCATGCGAGTCCAAGGTGGAAATAGTGACGCCCTATTGGGCGAGCAACAGTGCTGGAAAGATTCGTGCCATCGTGAACACGCAGCACTTTGAGCAAGCCATTCACCAAGAAGTTTGCTCGTAAGTATATTTTTCATGTCTTTTAACTTTCATTCGAGAATATAAAAGTTTTCTTCGAGAAAGTTTCCTGTTTCCAGGAAAACCCAGACGAATCGGTGCACTGGCGACTGTGGCTGCGAGCAAAAATACAAATGGCACAGATTGCTCGCCTACGACCCTGATAACGATTGCAAAGGTATCTTTATGGATTGGTTCCTCTTCCCTTCTTGCTGTGTGTGCAGATGCGAGCCGGTTGCTAACAAATTTCCATCGTCGAATAATCGAAATTAAAGATACTTCTTGACGTGTGATTTGATTGAAATTTATAAAAAAGAAAAAAAAACTGGAAGAGTATATACAGTAGTAGGATACATATTTGCCATTTTCTTTCGTGTACATTTCATCACTGAGATCCTACATATTTATGAGTGATATATGTGATTAGAAAGTATTGGAGAATTATTCCTTATCATATATTACTAAGGAATAAATAAACTAATGGTATATATCTATAGGTTATAAATTAGATTATTAGAATTTGCAATACTTATCGATACTATGTGATATTATATATTGCATCAATATTAGTTGCAAGAATTAATATTGTTTACTAGTTTAGTTTAATAATTCATTCGATATTCTTATTGTATTCAATGATACGTAAGAGATAATATAAAATTGGAGCAAAATACAAGGAAAGGATAACAAGCAACTATAAAAACCATAAAGAAGATCTATGTCTTCTAGTAAATGTTCTTTAAATAATTCGATATTCTTTTCGATTTCAACTTGCCAGAAAAAATTTGCTCATTTTTTTCTGATTTTTGCAATCTTTTGTTGTACGAAACTCAATGCTCTTGAATCAATTTAAATTTCAAGCATATCAAATCATTATGCAGCACATTTCACAAATGTGAAAAACAAGAAAAATTCATTTCATGATACTTTTATACGTTTTTCTTTTTTTTATAAGCAAAATAATTATTAATTTCGAAAAGAGGCTTTTCTGCTGCGCGACTTTCGTTTTTCATCAATATTATTTTCTCTTTCTTAAATAAGTTGTAAGTAAAGTTAGTTTTAGATAAATCGTTGTTCCAATCTCCTTGTAACAATCGAGAGAATACTTTTTAAGCAGTTCTATAAAGATATTCCTTCTTTATAATTTTGTTTTTATGTTATTACGTATTTTTAGAATTGATTTTAATTTTAAATTAAATGTTACCATGAAATTTATATAGCCATTTATAATGTATTAATTATAATATTATGTAAGTATTAATGTATAAATGTAATAGTAATTTGTATTTATTAAGTATTATACACAAATGATAGAAAGTGAAATTTAGTGATAGGATACATTATACATTATATTTTCCTATAGTAGAGTAAAATAGAAAATTGTAAATATGAAAAATAAATTCTAATTTCTCGAAAATTTAATGGTAAAATTGATTATTTTTAACATTAACAAATAAATCGAAAAAAAAAGAATAGATAATGGAAGCAAATTTAATCGCAATGAAAAGCATAATGTCTAATCTACAAATCTAATAATTAAAAAATTTTAATGAAATATAAGAAAATATTATTTTTAATCAGATAATGCGAAATGAAAGAATAAAATTTCGTATCATCTTATACATTGGACGGATTCCTGATAAGCTAATTTTTTTCTTCGTTTTTTCTTTTCATCTTAAAGTAGTATTACTACAAAAGAAATTAAATAAATAACAAAAGATTAAAGAGTGAAAACGACAAAGCTTAAACCAATAAAGTTAACGAGAGAAGAAAATTCCAACAAAAAAATCGATAAAAAAGAATTGGAAAGAATTACTAATAGTGACGTGAAAGCAAGTATTCGAGAGGCTGCAAATCTACGTAATTACAAAGTATAAAATCAAGTTAACAATCCTTTATTATACAATCACGTCACACGTGTTAAATCTATATACACATTGTACAAAAATATCGTCGTTTCATTTAGTATAGGTTTTTTTTTATTTTTACTTTTTTTTTACGGAAATCGTGTTATCGTTAAATAGACGATTAGATTAAATAAAGCTTTCAGCACGATGACGCAACTACTCCACTATATGTCAACCTGTTCTACTTAATACGCGACTAACGAGCTATGCCTAACTATAAAATAGTTAACAAACTTGTGCGCGCATAAAATTATTTTAATACACTGTTTTATCATCTTAATAAGATTTTCAAATAGGTACACGCGTCTAGAATAGCGATTTAATCGATAATTTGGCCAAAAAATGGTTATAATAGCGATAAGGAGTAAATTACACGATAAAATTTATTTACGAAGCATTAACACATTATTAGATTTAAGATCCTTTAAAACAGCGCCCTCCACGATAGCAAATAGCGATTTAATTAATTGCCAATTAATAACTTGGTTATTAATCAAGACTATGATAATTAAAATTTTTTTTATTATTTAAAATTACTTAAAATTGCGCTCTCTAGAATTAGTAATTAATAGCTTTGTTATTAACCAATACTACAATAATCAAATTACTTCGTTTGAATTAGTATAATTTAAATCATTTCGAAACGACTTCTAAGACCATGATAATTGAACATTTCATCATTATGTTTCAATTCGTATAATTTAAGATCGTTTAAAATGGCGCGCTTGCTCCGCGATTATTTTTCACAATGAAAAATGTGTATAGGTTAGAATTTTTCGTTAAAGGGCGATGTATTTCGATTGTAGGTAACGATAGCCGATAATAGCCAACGTGACCATGAAGAGAGATTGTGTAACAGATACTCCCATGGCGGAATTGCAGAGGTCGGTGCTGCAAATATGACATTCGATTAAATTTCGAGTTGAAATCGCGGTTGCACTGCAAGGACCATCCACGATGTCTGCTTCATCGACGTTCGGTGTTGAACACTGACGAATCACCACTCTTTCGCCATTCTCTGTAAGAAAAAAAAAAAGAAAATCAAGTTCAAAAAATTTATTTGAGAATCAAGAAATTTTATTTTTTATTATCTTTCATTTTATTACGAATCATCGTGTTCTCTCATTGTACTCGTAACGTTGACATATGTGCAATTAAAATTAGACAATGTAGACATTTATGCATGTCGATCGATCAATTTTACGATGTCATCGAGTCGTAAAATGGTTAGCTTCCGATTGCAACGTGACATTAAGGGAAATTATTCGCAGATTCACAGGATTTATGTAATCCGTAACCAAAATATCCATAGAAACAGACATAACGTATGCATAACTTCCGATTCACATGCGTGTAACCGAATATTAGCACGCTATACGCCATGTTTCCTTTTGTATTTACGTTTGAGCGATCTGGTGCAACAGGTTGTGTAACAGCCAGAATTCCAAATGTCACCAACAAACTACGGAAGTAATTACGAAACATTATGTATTTGAGTAAACTTAGATCTCGTGGAAATCTATCCAAGATTAGAATCTACGAACGATACATCTGAGAAATTTATCCCAAAAGTTATTCAATTTATACAAAGTAAAATCATCGAAACATTTGATTTCTGCATTCTGTAAAATCATCAACACTAGAAAAGAACACGAAAAAATTAGAAATTAAATTGACAATTTTCTACAAATTATTCCCGATTGAGTTTTAAAATTTCATTACACAATTTTTTGTTCACGTTTGAAGAAATGACATTTTTTAACAATTATGCAGATTTAATTAATCTTTCACACTCGTTAACTCTAGGATTCGAGTTACACGATTAACCTCAATATTCATGATTCCATGACATCGAGTGATTTTTCCATGACATAGGCGCGGTTTTGACCTTGCCAATACGTAATTATCGCAATTATGGTGTAGAAGCCATGACTCACGAACGCAACATGCACCGTGACGATCAACTTGAAGACGATAGGTTACGCTATCCTATGATTTCATACAACGTGTGTACGTCATCCCTGATGTAAGAATTGAGAACACATCCATGTATATATATATATATCTATGCTTATGACTAAACAGGATGTCTCGAGTTTATTATATATTTGTGTAAATACGCAAAGGAAATTTTTCATTTTTAAGACGTAGAATATATATATAAAACGTTCAATTGTATAATCATACACATAATTGTACGAATGATATAAAATTAATATCGGTTTAAATATAAGGATAATTTAAATGTAAAAAAAGATATGAGAACTTGAATTTTAAGATTCGTATTTATATTCAATGCTACGATATTCGTTCAAAAATGGATTTTTCGTTGGCAACAATTTCTTATATATTGAATTTCTTCCTTCTTCGTATAAACACCAATGATTTTAATTTAATTTTTCCTCTTAATTCTTATTGGGAAAATTGATTCTATCTTCTGATCCAATTTGATATTCGTTGGGGATTATTTTTAAAACAATTATTGTTACCTCTTTTCACGATTTTCCGGCAAATTTGTTTCGACGTCTCGTAAGTTCCAGATTCGCATATTTTCGTATGGAAGGTGCTATGATGGTCAGTGATGTTCATCGGATCGCCACATAAGGAATTGGCGTTGGAAGCGCAGTCCCAACATCGTAAAGCCGAACCTGTTCGATCATCAATTGATAAATATATTAAAATCATCGAATATTAACAAATAAATTTATTATTTCGTTGCACCTCGAGTTTTCATTTTTCAGAAAAAGTTGTTCAAAAAAATAATTCTGATTTAATGTCAATTATTACGTATAATTGAACGTGCATACATTATACCTAACTGTTTCGAGATTCAATATCGTTCATATTATCATATTGTTTAGAATAACAAAGAAATGTTGAAACGTCCATTTCGAATGATATTATGGAATATTCCGATAGATTAGTCATTCCTCTTTCTGCTGCAGAAAAATGACGAAATATATATAGAAATGTATACACGACCTGCGTTCAATCAAGAATATTTACAAAACGCGTTAAAATTTACGAATTATAAAAATTCGCGTTATAGAACGGAACAATCGATCGTAACGATTCAATAATGATCATACCTAATTTATTTTAGAGAGGTCGAGAAACAAACAAAAAAAAAAATAAGTAACAATAGATCAAACGATTTGATAATGCATTTGATAAGATGATAACAATGGACGATTGCGTAACGAGAAAATAGAAACAATAATTAAAGTCGTAAGTGGACCAAACGAGTCAAAAGAAACATTAATGCCCGAGTTTAACGTTTAATGAATGTAAATGACGTAATAACTTTATCTTAATGCTTTGCTCTGCCATATTTCAACCACCATTGTTATCGAATCATCGTCTATCGTCATTGCCATCCAATTCTGATTCACACTGTTTCGTTATTAAATTTTTGCTTTCGAAACATTTCGGGGAAGAAAAAAATGGATCGAAGCCTTTTATCAAATATCCTCGTAAATCACGCGTGTCGTCAAATTTTGAATTCGCGCATTTCGGCGGGAAAATTAAAAATTAAGGGATCAATTAGAACGAAGGAATTAAATTATTAAAATTATTACGATTTCTTTCAAAATTTAAATTCGTTTCAAAATTTTCCTTTAATGTTTAAAAACGAAGTTTTCTCAATCCTTAACGAAAATTAAACATTCGTTACGCAAATGCTCATTTTTTAAAAAACTCGATCGTGAATTTTTACGATCTTAAAATCATTTATGATCATCCTTCAAAAATTCAAATTGACAAATTTCGATGGAATTTTACTTATCGGACAAGATCGTAATGATAAAAATATTAACTAAAATCATGGCAAAATTCCAATAATAAAATAATAAAAACGGAGTGGAAAGAAACAAACTGGATCAAATTTTTTCATCGAATATCCACGGAAATCACGTGCATCACCAAATTTCAAAAACGTGCATTTTGGCGGGAAAATAAAAAATTTTTCAGGGATCAATTAATTTTCTCTTCCAGGATAATAAATTGTTAAATTATTCTTCCAAAATTTAAATATATTATATAATAATACGATTATTATTTTCGATTATTTATTTCTTGGAGACACGCTTATCAGGAATTAAAAATTCTTCGAAATCTTTTCTTAACAAAAGTTAACAATTCGTCACGTCAATCCTTTAAAAATTCGCAAATTTCGATGAATTATCATATATTTATCATAATAATAATAATAATAACAACAACAACAACAATAAAAAACTTAATAATAAAAAAATTCCTCGGAGATCGATCAATTAATTTTCTCGCTTTTCTCAAAACTGTTAAATTATTACCTGATTGAATGGAAGCGGCCAGGCCAGCCACGATCAGCACCCAGCCCAATGTCGACGACATATCGATTCTCCACTATTTGTCAAGATATCCTCTTCGATACGGATCGATCAACACCAATCACGAAATCTATGTTGGAGCATGTGGTGGTTCGGAAATAGGCAGAGAGGAACTGGTAGCGTCACCGTACGTGTTCACAGCGTTACTGAAACACAACCAACACCCCCTTTTTTGCCCGGAGTACACCTCCTCCTCCTCCTCGATTCTTGGGATTCATAAGGCATGGACCAACGCCACCAATAAACGCACGACTCGCGCGCCACTAATAACCCTCCATAGGATATCTAAAAGGAGTATCGAGGGAGTAGGAGTCGGGTAGAAGAGATTAATTGGTTAAAATTTTTCGAACGAATGTTTTTGCTTTCGCGTCACGAGAATTGTTGTATTCTTTTACGTCGTAGATGCGCGGCGTGCTGCGACGGTGACGAGTGATAATTTATTTTTACGTAATTTGTAATTAATTTTGAATAAAGTGTCGTTTTTAAAGCTTGTTGTGGTAAGTAAAGATTAACAATATTCGTCGTAGATAATTTACGAGATACTGTTTCCAAGTGATTTTTCTTTAACGATGAAAATTATTATTAATTTCGATCGATCGTTTCATAAATAATTCACTTGACTCAGATTGCTTTAAAGAGATTGCTTTCAAAAATTTGCTTGGAAGATTTTAAAGGTGAGCGGGGAGCTTTATCGAAAGCATAGCAGTGAAAATGATAATACGATTTATTTTGAAACGTATGTTACGATCGAATAAAAAAAAAAAAAAAATTAAAAGAAACCATCAAGAAAAATGTGTACGAGTAATAATAACTTTAGATTGTTATAGAACTTAAATATTGAATTAATAGAACTTAAAGATTGTTTTATGCACTGCTAAAATTTAATAGACGCAAAATATTCCAAGTATAATATATCAAAGTGATATTTGAAGAACGAGACAAATCTTTAATCTTAAGGCTTTACAAATTTATTGTTTCTCGCGAGTTTTTCCCTATAATCAATTATAATTAATTTATTTGCAAAAAATTATTCAAATGAAAATTGACCACTTTATTCGTATTTTGAAATTATCGGCTAATTTCAAACCGCGAACATTTTTTTATTATTAAAACCGCCAAGTGGAGAGCGAGGCAGCGAGCAAGAGGAAAGGAGGGAAAGGGAGAACAGGCGAAACGGTAATTATGAGTCCAGGGTGAGGGAGAAAGGAAAGCGGCATTGCTCTTCAGGGACCCTCATTGGACTCGTTAGAACAATTATGGGCCTCCCCCTCCCTCTTTCTTCGGGATCTCTTACGAGCTTCGTGCTGGAAAAATATTTGATTGTTTGGAATTTCAGAGGATTTACTCTGATTTCGAATCTTGAAAGAGTCAGAGAAGACTTGTAAGGGATTCGGAACGAAGTTGTTGCTTCCCGCTTCCTGCTTTATGATAGCCTAATAACTCGCGATTCTCCTTTCTCCTCCTTTATTTTATTAGAGTTTAGAATTGGATGAAGTGTACGCAGTGGCCAAGTTTGAAGAGTTCGAGGAAATTGCTAGGATTATTTATTCCTTTAAAAAAGAATATATTTTTTTTTCATCGCTATGTTGAAATTTTTTTTTTTTCAAAATTAAATTTAAAAAAATCAAAGTTCTCGATCGATATAATGGATAAACTTTGTATCGCATATCGATGTTGTAGTATCGAGTTTCATTGGATGAACAGATATGGAACGAGAAGGATTGCAAACAGTGAGGCTTGCCGACTCGTTAAAGGAAGGCTGCTCGTCAGGGGTCAGAGGATCGTTTAACCCCGCGAGACATTACCGAATTGACTCCAGCATTTGACCCCTCCCCTTCAACCAGATGCAACCCACTATGCGTATATAGATGTTGCGCGCACGATCCTCGTAGGTATTGGTCGGGACCTAAGTCACCATCATCGATACAAAGGTTACACTGTCTCCCTGTTCATTCATAAAGCCATTTAATTTCTCGCTTGAAAGTCAACTGCCTTTTCCGGTCAATCGATGTTTATCGTCGTCGTCGTCGTCTTTCAAACAACGACGATGATTACGATGATTTGTGATGCGAGAATGATGAGAAAAAGAGAGCAAGAAATTTGCCGAAAATTGTTATTAATTTCTGAAGGGAGAAATTTGGAAGTTGATTCGAATATTTTTATCAATTTGTAAAGAGAATTTTGTGAATATAGAAGAGAAATTTTTTGGAGGGAGGAATTTCGAGAAAAAGGAAAAAGGTTTGTTGTTGTTTGGAAAATTTTATTAAATTGTCTTTGTCAAAGATTGAACAAAATTAAATCAAGTTCTAATATAAACGATGTTTTAAGTAATAAAATTTCCACATTTCTACGTATTTTTAATATTTCGATCTTAAATGATAAAGAAATATTTCTAAATATGAGAATCAGAATCGTGAGAATATTCATTCGCGTTAAAAGTTAATTTCAATCTTATTCCATTTCTAATTAGTTATTTTGTAAGAACACGTGAAACGTGAAATCAACCATTTTATTACAAAAAAAAAAAAGAAGAAGAGTTAAAACAAGTATATCATTGAAGTTATCGAAGTTAAAATTATCAATATTAAATTGTTCGAAACACGATTGGAATTTTGGCTGTTGCAAGCGTAATCATCGCAAAAAGAGCACTTAATGCTGGATCCTGGAAAATGTTCCGCTTGTTGGCAGTATCCATCGATTTCTCGTGACGGCACGCAACCTCGTACCGTCACCAGTACGTCTCCATCTGCATCATTAAGGAATAGTTGTGTCATAGTCTCACCAGTTTCAAGGCAGCGAAATATATATATATAATGTATATAACGAAAATCGCGAAATTGAGATAAATGAATTGTGACAACGATGAATTATTACGCCATTCCGTGGAAAAAGGAGGAGGAAAAAGAAGTTAAGATCGATTATTAACCCATTCATATTCTATTCTTGACTAATGTTATCTAACCGGCAATTTTTAATTCGTAAATAAAGATCTGTATGCGCTTTTTAGACGCGTATGGAATTATAAATTTATTTAATCTTCCTTCAGTATAATATAGTTTCGAGTGAAAATGGAAAAACTTTAAATCTCGAATATATACGCATTAAACTGTTCAATCTATAAAGATTTATTGAAATATATTAAACGCATAAACAAAGCATTGTGCCATCTCGTGAGAAAAAGGAAAAACATTAAGACCACTAACCTATTTAATATTTTATTTTTGATTAAAATTATTGTTAACCAAGTAATTTTTAATTCTCTAAATAAAAATATATGCGCTTTTCAGACGTTTATGTAATTATACATTTATTTAACTTTTCTTCAGTAATATAGTGAAAATGGAAAAACTTTAAATCTCAAAGTACGCATTAAACTGTTCCTATTCAAATATATTGTGTATTGAAATATATTAAACGCATAGATGAATCATTATGCATAATCATCACGTGAGAAAAAGAAAAAACGTTAATATTGCTTATTAATCTATTTTTTAATATTCTTGGTTAAAATCGTCTAACCAGTATGAAAATTTATGAAAATATATTAAACGCATGAACAAATCATTGTGCCATCTCGCGAGAAAAAGGAAAAACATTAGACTATTAACCTATTTAATACTTTATTCTCGGTTAAAATTATCTAACCAATTATTTAATTTTTAATTCGTAATAAAAATATATATTTTTATATATAATTATACACTTATTTAACTTTTCTTCAATAACATAGCTTCGAGTGAAAATGGAAAAACTTTAAAGTACGCATTAAATGGTGCCTATTCAATCTATGAAAATTTATTAAAATGTATTAAACGAATCATTATGTCTAATCATATCGTGAGAAAAAGGAAAAATGTTGAGATTGTTTTTCACGTTTAATATTCCGTCCTTGGTTAAATTGTTCTATCCGGCGAATAAAATTTTAAATTCTATGATACGTTTTTTAATTTATACGCGTAGAGTTATTAATTTTATTAATTTTCCCTTAGAAAAAAATTCTTTAAATGTAAATAGGATTAAATTACGACGAGGATGGTATTAATATTTCACGTGTTTTTAATATACGGGATTAAAAGCAGATAGATGAATTATTCGCAGAGAAGAAGAAGGAAAAATGTCGAGATCGATTGTTTTTCGCGTTTAACATTCCGTCCTTGGTTTTAAAATGTTCTCTATCCGGCGAATATTTTACATCTTATGATACTTTTTTAATTTATCACGTAGAATTACAAGCAATTTATTAATTTTTCCTTGAGGAAAGATGCTTCGAATGTAAATAAGATTTTAAATTGCGATTAAGGGGGACGGTATATAATGCTTGATATATTTTTCAACGTGTATACGTGTGCATGTGTAAATCGAAATTAAAAGCATAGAATTCTGACAGAATAGATAAGGACACCGATTCGATTCATCACCTCTTACATAAGTACACGATATTTGTTTCAAAGAGGCAAAAAATACATAACTACCTAGACATTGTCCTACTTTCACAAAACCATATAAGAAATTCTATTCAATTCCTAATCGAGATAAATCTACGTCGTAAAATCTGGTTGTTTCTTCGCCAATGACCTTGTTACATCTCCAAAAAGAGGGGGAAAAAAAAAAAAAAGAAATTGAGTAACAATTGATTTTTCTCTTCTGAAGCGTCGATTGCTTAACATTGGTCAACGTTGAGGAAACGTTGTCCTCTCTTAAAGAAACAAAATTGATTCAAATGTGGAAAATATAATTCTATTTGAAATCTATCGTGATATCCTTTGTGAACAGTGAACAGTGAAATCTCTATACTCGTCCAATTAAAAAATTAAATTTCTTCTTAAAATTGTATTCATTCGAAGCTCGAAGCTAAGAATTTTTATTCCCTTTTCGACGATTCTTATTGAAAAAAATTGATTTTACGTTTCATTCTTTAGATATCGAATCGATGATGAATATAGCAGAGTGACTCACGAAACCATTCCAACACTGTTTTATTTCCTGATGAAACAATATTTTAATATACGAAGGATTTTTTTTTTTTTTTTGCTCAAAGTTTCAATGAATTTTCTTTAAATACAATGGTTTCTGATGAGAACAAACTTTTAAAGTTTCAAAAAAATATTCAGAAATATTCACTCTGCCATTCCGTTGAAAAAAAAAAGTTCTCGGGTGAAATTGTATCAAAAGTAGAAAAAAATATAGACAATTTAGCGTAAATGGTGATAACTTGATTTCATCCGTTGAAAGCGATTTCTCGTCTCGAGAAGAGAGAGAGAGAGAGAGCAAAAAGTTTCATTCGAGATAAGATTTTTCGAGTTAGGTGAATATCCTTGTAAAATGGCGTTCGAATACTTGCACACGAACCACATTAAAAAAAAAAAAGAACACTCGTGAATTAAACTTAACTCAAAATTCACCGTGGTGTTCCCTGTTTAACATGTATGCACAACCGACCGCGCGAATGTGATCGAGCATGTTGATAGCACGTAACATATCGTGGATGCACGTTGCGTGCACGTAATGAAGGCGAGCGCACGCAACAGTAATCTACGTAGAAGTTATTTCATATACGCACAATCGATGATGCTTTTCAGACAATGATGCGACTCGTTTCGAGGGCAGAGAGTTAAATCGAAATAGGATGACGGGTAAGGATCGTTGCATTCCGTCGTGTGCCTGTTCCTCAAGTTAGTGTTGCATTGGTAACACCACAACTTCTCTCCTTTCCCATACTCTGTCAAATTTGAATCGATGTTTTTATATTTTCGATCGAAGCGAATAATTGTCGAGGGACAAAATAAAATTTGTAATACGACGAGATTACTTTTCTACTTTCTGTAATATAAGTTACAACGCTTACTTGGTTAACGACGATGCGATGAACGAAATAATAATTTGAACGAAAATTCTAAATTCCTTTTCTTTTCACTTGGATGGAAATAATAGAATGGAAAATTATAATGCTTACCTAAATTCACGAGAACGATTATCGTCATCGAGATTGCTCGTCCAGCCATGTCGGTTCCACCTCTGCATACGTTCCAAATCTTTTCATCTTACTTATTATCTTATCTTTGGTGATAAAAATAAGGATCATATAGCTTCTGAAAATGTGAACTAGAGTAGGGAGCATAGATGCGCGGCGTAAAATTTGTCAGAGTTGTAAAAATACTGCATAGATTAATCCTTTCGATCATATATATATATATTTTAATTCCTCTGTTTCAGAATTAAAAGTGTTACATAAACATTACACTAAAAAATACAAATGTTTTTCGAAACCGAAACTACATAAATATATCGCTCGCATCTTGATAAAAAAAAACATGGGAGTTAATTGTTGAAAGTAGATTAATCGTTGATATTTACAAAGAAGATAAGAAATTCATATACACATAGCGAAAATGTTAAAATTTTGTCTCTATAATCTAAAATTATTCGATTATTAATCGCGTATGTACAGAGTATTAAAATTCGTATCTTTTGAGAAATTTTAACGATACACACATATTTTATTGCTCGTGCAATGATATATATATATATATATTCGATCTTCTGTCAAGCACTGTAAATGGCATTCGTCGATATAAACACTGGCCAAAATTTCACATAAGCCCCTTAATTCGTATAATATATAGCTATATAATATATTTACTTATTTATAAGGTTGTGCTCAAATATGCAATTATAAATACAATATTCGAATTTTTATAAGGAACACGCGTTACAGGCGATGGAATCGTGGAATCGATTACCATAACGTTCTACATATAGACACTGTTTTAATTTTCAAATTTGGTATATAAAATCTGCTAATTCGTTATTTTTGAAACGTAGAAAATGGAAATTTCTTGTTCTCGGAATTGTATCAAAATTACACGTATCGAAATAACGATTTACGAAACGAATTTAATCGGAAAAAAAAATCTTACATCAAATTCGAATAATCAATAGCACGCTATATTTTCTCGCTTGCTTTTCAACAAATATTACTCTAATCTGTTTTTTCTTGAATTTTATATAAATAAGAATTGTATAAAATAATATGTAATGCAAAAAAATAAATAAATAAATAAATAATTCAACTCAGAGATCTAACAAATTTTTTAATCGATTTTCTTTCATGTAGCAAATATATCACGATTCGAAACGCATTGTGAAACGACGTGGAATATCAATGAACAAATGTGATGCTTATACATGCGTATATGTGTGTGTTTCAAATTTTAGAATATGCTAAATGGAATCGTAACTCGACAAGACAATCGAAATCGATTCTTTCAACTTGGATAATTTATAAAGGTTACGCGGTCTTGTAAAAAGAGGCGAAAGCTACTGCACCAATGGTGGACAACAGTGGGAGAAGAATCCTTGGTGAAACAGAAATGGAACCGTTACAAGCGTCCTCCTCGCATAATTGGCAACTTTGTAGATCGTAAACATTGTTGACGAACTTGTTTTCGATCGCTTTGCACGGGTCGATAGTCTCCGTTTTCGCTGTCTGGCAAGTCCTCACCGTCACATCTTGATTGTTAACTGATGAACACAGTTAATTGATAAATTCGATCGTTTATGGATAAATGAACGCGATGTAAAATATAACAAAAAAGGAAAATAATAGAGACAGAAATATAAGAATATCGCAAACATGTTAAGGCATCCGTAAACTGAGATTCCTCTGCGAAAACTTTCGCCACAGCTTTGTTAACGAGTTATTAACAAAAAATACTAGTCAATCACGAAACATGTAGTAGACAGACCGTAGCATTGGCTACGAGTTGCCGATCGAGCACGAACAGATTCAAGCAATATATTTCGAAGAAAGTATGTTGAATATTTATATTTATTTATTCATTCATTGTTTGTAATATAATTCGATATTTTTTTATCGATAAAAAAAAATATTTATTACACTCAACGCACTTTTCTTTAAGATATATTGCTAGTGGATTTGTTCGTGTTCGGTCGACAGCCAATTGTCAGCTATAATTCGACGATTTAACTAGACTACGCGCTTCATGATTGGCTAATGTTTTTCGTTAAACTGTAACGAAAGTTTTTGCTTGAAATTATCCAAGGAATCTTCAATTTAAGGATGTTCCAATATTTTTAGGGCAGATACAGTATACACATACATTATACGATGAAAATATAAAAGGAAAAATATATCGAATGAAAATGTGAAATAATAATTCTTCATTCTTTTTTTTCTAAATTTGAAATTTCAGATTACGGAGAGATATAATTTCTTTCTATAAAATATGAGATTATATTTAGATAATATAAGAAAATATAAAAGTAGAAATATATCTGAAATGAAAATGTAAAATATAGTACGAAATAATAAATAAAATTCATTGATTCTTTTTCTAAATTTTACAAATTTTACAAATTCACGATTCGTACCCTTGAGAATCATTTTAGCGCATGCCATCGGGGCGGATGCTTGATAATACTGAGATTTGTCAACTTCGAAAATGATGGATATCTTATTTAAATCGTTGTGCTGTTGAATCCTTTGTTTAAACGAGTCCATGTTATTCAAAGTGCATTCTTTGATATCCTCTGTGTTCAGGTCCGTGTCGCAGCCAGGGTCCGTTAACGAAGTACACATGTAGCACTTTAATTTCTCGTCTGTAAAATCTAAAACCGTTTTTTTTTTTTTTTTTTTTAACACGAATAATATTTTTCATTTATCAAACGAACGAGTTGTTGAATGAAAAAAAACGAGTTTACATTTTATTCCTATGTCAAATAATCATCGTTACATATTTTCTTTCACAGCTAATTAGCAATAATCCGCTAATTGTGTACAAATGGTCACTCTTGTCGTCATCCTTGTACTCTTCACGTTCCTCTTCTTCAACGTGCCACTAAAATGTTGTTGAGTTGTTGGCATTGTAATATTTTCGCACGTCTCTTTTGCCACTTGACACGATTTTGACTCAAAAAATAATTGGGGAAAAAGAAACTGCTGCTCAATTTATAATCATTTAAAACGGTACTTGAAATTTAGAATTTTTAAATTTTTGTATAAACCATTTTAACCATTGTATAAGTTGAATTTTAAGCTCGTATTTCGCCTATAATATTTAATAATCGTAAAATTATTAATACAATCCTTTATGTCCACAAATTAAATTCTAATAATAAAATTTTTGATAAAACAATACATATTCTTCCTAATATATTTTTATTTATAATATTTTTCTAATATTTATAACCTTGTTTCGCATAGAAAATATCCTCTATCGAAAATCAAACGGTCGTTTGCAAAAAGTTGTACAGCATAAACTTTTTTTGTTAATAATAAATTTTTAAATTAAACACAAAACACGAAAATTAATCAGATCCGAATAAAATCCTTTTCCATTCGTTTCACACTCCTCGAACTACAAACGATTCGCAATTATGTATGGAATAAAACGAGGAAAAATCGTTAAAAATATAAATTCTCAAAAGTAGGATAAAACACAAACACGAGAATTAATCAGATTCCAAATAATATCCTCTTCATTCCTTTTCTTTTCGTCCCCAAATGGAATTTATAAATAAAAAATAATAAATCGAGGAAATATCCCGCAAAGGGATAAATATAGTGTAAAACGAAAATTACCAATAAAATTTCCAAATCCAAACGTGATATGAAATAAGAATAAAAAATTAATAATCACGATGAACCATCTTCTTCGTTTCTTTTCATACAACTATTACACAAATGGAAAACTAGGGAAAAAATGGAAATTACGTGTAGGATCTATTTAAAGAAAATACCAGTTTTCCATTTTTCCTGATTATACTTCAATATTCGAGGATTGTTTGTTTCCAAGACAAAGTAAATAATCTACTTTCCTTGGCGCCTGGTAGACGCCCCTGTGGCGTCCACGTAACATTTACCATCGTTAATTCGTGAATGTTTATAAAATCGAAAGATACGTGATTCTTGATATCTCTCTCTCTCTCT